TTTAGACTGTGCTATATAACTGTACACTCTCCTGAACAACCAATGGGTCACAGATGAAATTAAAGAAGATACTAGACAGTGTTTACAATAAAATGATAATGCAAATTCAACATACTGAAACATATGGGACACAATGAGAGCAATCCTATGAGGGAAATTTATTGTAGTGAATTCCCATATCAGAAAAACACAGCGAGCTCAAATAAATAACCTAAGGTTGAACCTCAAGCTTCTAAAAAAAAAAGAAGAGCAAGTCACCCCAAAGCTTGTATGAGGAAGGAAATGATAAAGATTGAAATAGAAACTAAGCAAACAACACAAAGAATCATGAACCAAAGACCTGATTCTTTGGGAGATTAAATAAAATTAACAAATCCTTACCCAACCTTATCAAAAAAAGAAAGAAAAGACTCAAATACATGCAATTAGGAATAAAAAGGGTGAAATCACAACAGATCCTGCAAATCCAGGACATCATCAATACTTACTTCAAGAACCTATATTCTAAGTAGATGGAAAACACAGACAAAATGGAATAGATTCCTAGATATGTATGATTCACAAAGCTGAATCAAGAAAATATAAAAATTCTAAATAGCACAATATCAGCCAATGAAATTGAAGATGTAAAAAACCTATCAACAAAGAAAAGTCCAAGAGGCTGGAGATGTACCTTAGTGGTGCTGTTTCTGCCTGCCAAGTTCAAGGTCCTGAGTTCAATTCCTGATTCCACAGAAAGGAAAGGACAGGACAGGGAAGAGAAGAGTGAACAAAGAAAAGTCCAGGTCCCAACAGATTCACTGCTGAATTCTACAGTAAATTTAGACAAAACCTAATGCCTCTACTTCTCAAACTCTTTAATAAAATTTAAAGGGAAGGAATATTGCCAAACTCATTCCTGAAAGCAAGCATTACCAGGATACCAAACCCAGAAAAGGGTCTAACCAAAAAAGAGAACAACAGGCTAATCTCCCCAGTGAACTCAGATGCAAAAATCCTCAATAAGATATGGGCATACAGAATGCAGCAAATCATCAAGAAGATTATACACTATGCTCAAGTAGGATTCATCCCAGGGATGCAGGGATGTTTCAACATATACAGATCAATAAATGTAATATACCATATTAACAAAGCCAAAGACAAAAAGTATATGATCACCTCAGTAGATGCAGAAAAAACATTTGACAAAGTCCAGCACACATTCATGATAAAAAACCTATAGAAAATTAGATACAAGGTCTTTATCTCAATCTCATGAAAGCCATTTATGTTACACAAATAGTCAACATCATACTAAATGAACAAAACCCAAAAACCTTTACTCTAAAATCAGGAACAAGAAAAAGATGTCCACTGTCACCACTCTTCCTCAACATAGTCCAGGAAACATTAGCTGGAGCAATTAGACAAGAGAAAGAAATAAAAGAAATAAGGATAGGAAAGGAAGAAGTTAATATCATTTGAGAAAGAAATAAAAGAAATAAGGATAGGAAAGGAAGAAGTTAAATTATCATTATTTGTGGATGCAACGATACTCTACATAGAAGACCCCACAGACTCCACCAAAGGTCATCCAGGTTTAATAACCAAATTCAACATCGTAGTTGGATACAAAGTGAACACTTAAAAATCAATAGCTTTCCTGTACATGAATAACAAACTCACTAACAGACAAATGATGGAAAGAACACCTTTCACGATAGCATCCAAAAAACTGAAATACCCTTTAATTAATCTAATGAAAGAAGTAAAAGAACTTTACATTGAAAACTACGGTTCTCTGAAAAACGATATTGAAGAGGTTATCAGAAAAATGGGAAGATATTCTTGTTCTTGAATGGGAAGAATATAGTGAAAATGGCCATACTTTCAAAATTTTTATACAAATTTAATGCAAATCAATTGAAATCCCACAGTATATCTCACAGGATTAGAAAAAAACAATTCTAAAATTAATTTGAAAGCAGAAGAGACCTAGAATAGCAAAGGCAATTTTGGGTAACAAAGACAAGGAAGGGGATATCACAATCCCTGACTTAAAATTATACGACAAGTTACTGTGATTTAAAAAATAAAGCATAGTACTCCCCAAAGGATAAACTTGAGGAACAATGAAATAGATTAGAAGATGCAGAAACACCTCGAAGACATATTCACCCACCTTAATTTTGAAAAAGGAGACAAACATCTTCACTAGAAGAAAGCCTATTTAATAAATGGCCCTGGAGAACTTGGCTTTCCACGTGCTGAATGAAGAGTAAACCTAGACCCATATCTCTAACCACAGACTAAACTAAAATCAAAATGGATCAAAGATTTAAATATCTGCTGGAAAAATAGGTAAAACTCTTCAAGGCATACATATAGGCAAATAATTTATAAACAAAACCCCAATCACACAGGAAATATTATACTTGCTATTAGCCAAAAGGCTGAGAAGGTATCACACGCAGTAAATATTACAGAGTAATAACACCTAGGACACAATGCATTAAAAAGCTCTTGCACAACAACAATATCAACAACAAAAAACTACCAGAGTGAAGAGGCAACCCACAGAACGGGAAAAGTTTTTACCAACTATTCTTCAGACAGAAGACTAACATCTAGAATATACAAAGAATTCAAAAAAATCAACGGCCCCTCATATTTAAAGACATATTCCAAAAATGGGCATCTGAAATGAATGGACACTTCCCAGAGGAAAGAAAAACAGCAAATAAATATGTGCAAAAACATTCAATGTCACTGATCATTTGAGAAATGCACATTAAAACAACACTGAGATTCCATCTCACTCCAAAAAGAGTAGCTATCATCCAGAAATCAACTGATAAGAAATGCTGGTGAGGTTGAGGAGAAAAAGAATCCTTTCTCCACTATTGGTGAGAGTGTACATTGGTAACCAATATGGAAATCAGTACGGAGATTCTTCAAAGAAGTAAAACTAGAGATTCCATTTAACCCAGCTATCTTGGTATTTTCCCTAAAGAATTAAAAGCATGATACCACAGTGATACAGGCACACCCACGTTTACAGCGGAACAGTTTATAATAGTTAAATCGTGGAAACAGCCTAGACGCCCACCAACAGACAAATGGACAGAGAAGTTAGGGGTTTTTAAAAACATGTAATTGATTACTATTCTGCCATAAGAAGAATAAACTTGAGATATGTCTGAGTGGATAAATGTTGAGTCCATATTTCTAAGGAAAAATAAGAAATTGGACACATATGTTTAAATATCATGTTGTTTCTCTTGTATGAGAAACCAAAAGCATAAATAAGGACCAAAATGGATGACAGATATTAGGAAGTAGAAAGAAAATGTTCACATGGGAAAAAGAACAAGGGAAGGGGAAAGGGGGAAGTAAAGAAAGAGTAAAGGAAAAAAAGATAAAGAAAGAAAAAATTGCAAACAGGTTTTGTAAATGGGGAAGGGAAGAAAGGCTGAAAGGAGTGGAAGAGAAAGGGGGAAAAAAAAAAAAGAATCAAGATTTGAGGCCAGCCTGGGCGACACCATAAAGTCAAGGTCAGCCTGAGCTACATAGTGAGATCCTCTCTCAAAATCTAAACATTTTTATTTCCTGGAAACTCCAGAAACACGTCTCTTTTTTTCCCCCATTATATCCATGCCACCTAGAAAACAGCTTATCTATTGGTATTTTCACTGTAGTTCATGTAGGAATTTATTTCTGATATTTTTTAGGTTTTGTAAGAGAGTACACAGCTAATGTGGAATGTTCTTTATTCTACATGCACAATATATATTTAGAATTTTAATACTTGATTATATTGATATTTTATGTTCCTGTTAACTACAAACTGTATAATCTAGGAACCTCCTGACAAAACAGTAAGACCAATGAGATGTCATGTATGTTTTACAAAAAGGCCAGGAAAGCAAAACACTTGTGCTACTAGTGTAAGCTATACATGTGTATGGAACATGCTGTTGTCATGCGTGAAGGCTGCTTTAGGTGTGATAAAGATTTTTTTTTGTAGCGAGCTACTGGTATTTTCATTGTAGTTCATGTAGGAATTTATTTCTGTTGCTCTTTTTTTAGAGTTTGTATGCCAAAAAAGTCAATGCTGAAAATGTTGATGCTTTTTTATATATATTCAATAAATATTAAAAATTCAATGCTTTTTTGATATTTTTTCCTGTTAAGTACTCACTGTTTAATATAATGATACTCAAAATTAAAATTAATAATTCATCCCTAGAAATATTCTAAAGAATAAATGTGGGTATTATATACCCACAACAATGTGCCGTTAGGACGAAATTGTTGCTGTGCCCCTTAATTAAATACTGGAAGCCTGAGTTGAGTTCCTTTCTTCCTCTTCCCTTTTGCCTAGTCCTACAGCTACTGTCCCCTGATCTTTAATAAATGTAGCTACTCACTAGATATTAGGAAGTATACACTTGGCAATGCTTTTGTCCTCTTTCGCAAGAACCTGGACTATTTTGGCCCAATCAACTGTAACAAACACTGGTTTCTTGCTTTCACAGTGGGGCTCTTCATCCCAAGAGGCAACTTAAGAGAGGCTGTTCATTCTTTTGCTTTCTCAAAAAGGATGGGCTTGCCCAAAGCTCACCTTTAGAGAAAGTGATACACTTGAGCTAACGCTTTGGCTGCCGCCACAGACCAGGAGGCAGGAAAAACACAACAGCCCCCCCCCCACTTTGAAAATGTGCCAAGTTCACTTGACCCTTTCCAAGCGTCCACCACACTAAAGGCACAGCCCTTTCAAGGCTAGATGTAATTAAGTCTTCAGTTGCTGACCTTGGAGCCACAACGTTCGCGGCCAACTCCTGGCCCCTGGGAGGTGACGGGCCGGCTAGGGAGCCCCCTCCCAAGGCAACTATCTCTCACGCGGAGAGCAGAGGGCCTAAATCCAGCCTGGAGGGAGGCGCCCAGCCGGCTCGCAGGCTGCGAAACCGAGTCGCAGAGCTGGCGGGTGAGCACCGAGATGACGAAGGTGGTCTTACCAGAGTACTGCAGCCCCAGGAGGAGAGCGAGCGGAACCAGTCCTGCAGGCAGATGAGCGCCAGCCTGGTGCTGGCCTGGGGACAGGACAGAGGGAAGGGAGGGCAAACGGGGACAGCGACAGTTCCACAGGGGCGGGGCTCCGCCAGCCGACGCAACACCTGCAGACACAAGCACTGACTGCTGAGTCAGGAAGTCCACAGGGTCACATGACGCCCCGCCCCCGCCAGCGGCTGGCCCCGCCTTATCCAATAGCTCCCGCAGGCTGCACCGCCACCTGGTGGGCTAGGGTCGCAGTAATTATGCCCGCTTTCTGCGTTTGGCCTCCTTGTACCACCTCTGTCCCTTTTGCATTGATGCTTCGTTCGACATTAAATCATTATTTGTCCGCTCATTCATTCATTCATTCACTAATTTATTCATTTCATTTTTTCTGTAAATGTTCATTTATAATGTACTTTGTAAAAGTTCACTTGGTCAAATCTGTGGAGAACTGGCTGTAGAAGAAAATTATTATGTATTGAATTCTGTCTTCTTTCTCCATCCAAAAAGATTTGTTGAAGGCCTACTTTCCATTACTTTAGAATGTGACATTTTGGGGGGATACAGATGTGGTTCAGCGCTAGAGCACTTGCCTGGCATATACAATGCCCTAGGTTCCATCCGAGCACTGGCCGGGAAAAAAACAAAAGCGAACATTTTTGGAAATAGGGTCATTACGGATATGATCAGTTGGCATCATACTGGGAAGGGCGGACAGCTGATGCACGAGGACTGGTGTCCTTTCAGAGAGAGCAGACACAGTTACCGAAATGGAAAGGCCGCGTGACAAGCAAGGCAGAGAAGGAAGGGTGGCGGGTGTGGGTGAGGCCACACCAAGGGTTTCCAGGGAGCTGCAGAAGCTGAAAGAGATGAGGAAGACTTCTCCTCTAGAGCCTTCAGAGAAAGCCTTGCCCTGTGAGACTTGGACTCCAGACATCAGTCTCTGGCTGTGAAACAATACATCTTGGTGTTCGGCCTCCCAGTCCGCGGCACTGCTTTATGGCAGTCCTCACACTACACAGAAAGGAAAAGGGGAAGGAATGCTGGGGCAGGGCTCAGGGCTACAGCCTCAGCTTGGGGAGTGCAGGTGATGGCTGGGACTATGCCTTTGTGAGCCCTTGGTTGTGGGCGGACACATGGCCTTCCCGTCCAACAGGAGAGCCGGACAAGGAACAAGTAAACAAATAAAGTAATTTTATTTTTATGTACTTTTTGTTTTGGTTTTTTTTTTGGTGAAACCAGGGATTGAACTCAGGATCTTGTGCTTACTAGGTAGGTGCTGGTGCCACTGAGCTACACCTCTGGATTATTATGTGCATATTTAATCTATAGTGCCAGGGTTGAAAACTAGGCCCTCATGCTTGTAGGCCAGTGCTCTTACCACTGAGCTACATCCCCAGGCCAAGATAATTTTATTTCTTTATTAGTCCATGCGTGTAGCACATAATGATTACATTCAGTTGGAGCACGTACACAATATACGTTAATTCTTTGTACATCCCCTTCCCCTACTCTTCGTCCCATCTGCTGCATTTTTCCTATCATCCCTCCCTGATCACTCCATCTATTTTTCCCCTTTATCTATCTTTTATTTTCTTTTTATTTATATGTTGGGCTTTTCATATAAGAGCAATCATGCGATATTTAAGCTTGTGTGTCTGATTTCTTTTACTTAATAGTGGTTTCAAGGTGCATTCCTTTTCATACAAATGACTCAAGTTTATCCTTTCTGCCAGAATAATTCTCCATTGTGTATAAATATCTGTTCTCTACCCGTTCGTCTGTTGGTGGATATATAGGCTGCTTCCAAAATTTAGCTCTTAGGGGCCGGGCATTTGGCTCAGTGGTTCTGCCACCTGCCTCAAAAGCACAAGGGTCCGAGTTCAATCCCTGGTGCCAAAAACAAACAAAACAAAACATTATTGTCAGTTGTGCTGCTATGAACACGTGTATGCTTGTATCATTGTCTTACCATGTCTTTACCTCTTTCAGGAAGATACCTAAAGGGAAATCTCAGTGAGGAGCCAAAGTTACTTCATTTTGAGCTAAAAAGCCATCCGGTGTCAGACTTGCCCCCCCGCCACGGGCCCAGGCTGCAGAAATTTGTTTAGCTTGCTTAGTTGAGATAAGAGCAGAACCAAGTGGGTGAGCAAGGCCATTCCAACCTTGAAAAGAAGGAGAAAACACAGGACGGCCTGTGCAGATAACCACCACCCACAGGAGAGGAGCCAAACTCCCCCTCCCCTAGACTTAACGTTTCTTCCCGCTTTTGCTAACACCCCAACAACATCCAATAGAATAGAGAGGATTTCAAGCCACTTTAACCCTATATAACCCTTTTGTAATCGCAATTCTGGGCTCTTGCTCCCTGGTGGACAAGGGTCCAGGTTCGAACCTGAAATAAACTTCTCTTGTACTTGCAGCGGACTCGTTTTTCTGGTGGTCCTTGGGGAAACTGAGATCTGGGTACAACACTCAGAATCAAAGGAATACCTATTTCTATATCTTTAAGGAATCTTGATAATATTTTCTGTAAGTTATACTAATGTTGCAACAGGCAGAGTTCTGGGGGGCCTGGAGCCCTCTCATGAAGAGACTCTCCATTCCCTCGTTCATTGCTCCACCCTGGTAGGAATGCAGGAGTTGGAGCAAGGCTGACTCAGAACTGAAAGTCTCTCCTTTGGGGAATGAGAAACTCAGATAACAAAAGTGAAGTAAAGCAGAAGTTTTACTGATAATATTGCAAAAGGCAGGGACATTGAGAAGCTCAGGGTGAGGTCCTCAGAGTGGCATTTTTGTTTTTTCTGTACTTCTAGGCGTAAGCTGATTTTCTAAAAATAAGTATTCCTCTGATTGGTACAATCAAGGTCTTAGCCTCTATTTCTGAGGTGACCAAGGTACACAGGAGCCATGGTCACATAGCAAAAAGTATGTAAAGGTGCTACAAAGAGCAGCCCCTTCCAGTGCATCATATCACGAGTAAGTATGTGGTTTATCCCTGTTTTGCTAGCCACTCGGTCCTGCCCTGTGCTGCCTATTCCACCCTAAATATCTCTATCTAGTTTACATTCCCACCAACAGGGAGTAAGGATTCCATTTTCCCCACAGCCTCCCCAGCATTTGTTGTGCTTTCTGACTTTTAATTTCTTTTTCTCTCTTTCTTTTTTTTTTTTTCAGCTTTAATTGATTTTATTGGTACATTTTAGGGATACAGTACAGTTACATTCATTGTTGGGATCTTGTACCTCTACATGCCAGGTCTTGGTTCTCATTTTTTCCCCTTGTCCCTGCCCTCCCTTCACCCCCTCCTCCCCTCCCCATCTACAAACACTTTATTTCCATCTTTTCATTATCTCACATCTCTTTCTTTCTTTTTTGTTTTTTCTGATATTGGGGATCAAAGTTAGGACCTTGCACTTATGAGGCAGGTGCAGTTCCACTGAGCTAAATCCTGGGCAGGACTTGATTTCTTGGTAACAGCCATTCCTTCTGGAGTAAGATGGAATCCCAGTGTTGCTTTAATCTTCATTTTTCTAATGGTTGAAGATCCTTGAACATTCTTCATGTATTTATTATCTACTTGCATTCCTTCTTCTGAGAAAGGTCCATTCGTTTTAGCTGTGAATTATCTAACTGTGTCTTTTATTTTGGAGTATCTAACTTTTTGCGTTCTTTGTATATTTTAGATATTTGTCCTCTGTCTGAGAACTAAATAACTCACAATTTTTTCCATCCTGTAGGTTGTCTCTTCACACTATTTGTTGTTTCCTTTGCTGTACAGAACCTTTTAAATATGATATGATCCCTTTTGTTGGTCTTAGTATTATCTCCTTTGCAGGTTGGGGTTCTATTAAGAAAGTCCTTATTGGGCTAAGGAATTAGCTCAGTGGTGCCACTTCTGGCCTCATAAGCACAAGGTCCTGTGTTTGAGCCCTGCATCTCCCCCACCCACAAAAAGTCCTTGCTGGCACCTGTTTATTCAAGAGTTATATCCATTTTATTTTTCAGCAGATTGAGTGTTTCTGTTCTAATATTTAGATCTTTGGTCCATTTTGATTCTAGTTTACTACGTGGTAAGAGATATGGGTATAGATTCAGTCTCCTCCACGTAGATAGCCAGTTTTTCAAGAACTATTTACTGAAGAAGCTATCTTTCCTCCAGACTAAGTTTTTGGCTCCTTTGTGAAAGATCTGGTAGCTCAATGTGACTGGGGGTGTTTCTGCATTGCCTATTCTGCTCTACTAATCCACATGTGTTTTTAGCCAGGTCATGCTGTTTTTATCACTGTTGCTTTGTAGTGTAATTTGAAGTCTGGAATTGTGACTCCTCCTGACTTGTTCTTGTTACCTGGGATTGCTTTTGCTATTCTATGTCTCTCCTGGTTCCATTTGAGTTTTAGAATTGTTTTCTCTAGTTTTGTTACAAATTTTGTTGGTATATTTTTATTGACATTGCAATAAATACATCAGTTTTAGAAGTATGGGCATTTTTACTATGTTGGTTCTGCCTATCCCAGAAAAAGGGTCATCTTTCCTTTTTCTGATGTCATCTCCCATTTCCTTTTGTTGAGTACTATAGTTTTCATTGTAGAGGTCTTTCATTTTGGGGGTTAGGTTAGTTCCTAGACATTTAATTTTTCTTGGTGTGATGGTGAAAGATGTTGTTTCCCTAAGTACTTTCTTAGTGAGTTTATTGTTATGTATAGGAACTATTGATTTTTTGTGTTGACTCTATATGCTGCTGTAATACTGAAGTTGGTTATTAATTCTATGAAGATTTTGGTAGAATTTTTTGGGTCTTCTATGTAGAGGGCTACGTCATCTACAAATAATGGCAATTTGACTTCTTCCTTTCCTGTACATATCGTTTCTATTTTTTTCTATTGCCTAATTGTTGTGGGTAATGTTTCTGAGAACTGTATTGAATGCTATTGGTGATAGCAGATATCCTTCTCATGTTCTTGATTTTAGAGGGAAAGCTTTCAGTCCCCCTGTGTTTAATATGATGTGAGCCATTATTCTGTCATAAATGGCTTTTATCAGATTGAGATTAAATCCTTCTGTAACTATTTTCTTCAGGGTTTTTGTCATGAATGGATGTTGGATTTTGTCAAAGGCTTTTTCTGAGTCAGTTGGGATGATCATGTGATTTTTTTTTCTTGCTTCTGTTTATGTGATGTATTACATTTATTGTTTCTATTCAAGATTCTTGGATGCCTGGAATAAATCCTACTTAGTCATGATATGTGATATGTGATATGTGATCTTTTT